TTGTTTTGGGAAAGCGCTCAACGTAGGGTAGCCGTCGCATGCATCAAATACACCGAGTACCATCGAGGACGTCCTTGGAGCATTTTGCCATCTAGCTCGATGGAAGGGTGATGACAAGCTGCAAAAATATGAATTTATGTGCATAGTATGAGGAGTTGGTCGCATATCCGTGGCAGTTATAGGGGCCGTTCATTGGATTCCCGTAGAGGGTACATCGTTTTGGTCCGTTTGCTTCGTTTTGGCCCGTCTTTTCCGATCTATTCCGTGGCAAATATGAACACCGTTCCGTGTCCACCACGGACGCGGTAGCATGGGTGACACGAGAGTCAAGCAGGAGTAGTTCGGGTTGCCTTGTGTTCAAAACTCTTGTTCGCGATATGCCTGGTGTTCAGTTGTCCCTTTCCTCCGATGCTGCTGGTGGGAAATGCTCACCTCAGCTGTAGAGGTTCCCTGCCCAGAACCTTATGGGGTTCCTCGTTGTATAGGCTTACGTTATGGTCCAACCTAAATCTTGATCGTGTTCCCTGGTGTCCCGGGTTGGAGAGGTCTCAAGGTTTTCGCCCCCCTGTCGGCTCGTAGTTGTGGTACAGTGCATTTTGGAAGTATGCTGTGCGACTTTGAAGAGATTCATAGGTGCTACGGCGCATAGTCACGCCAGGGATGACGTGAGAAATATGTGCACCCAATCGCAAGTCCCAACTTGATTCCAGGTACAGTACAATGAGTCTCGTTCGAAGAGGTGATATGCATGTATGTTTCTTTGATGTATCTCGAGTTCAGAGAGAGAGGTAAGATACGCTGATGTCCACAGGTGGCCGGTGGGCACCGTTACGGGGGGGTTAAAGCGACCTGTAGCCCCTAGGCGTTGTGGGACCTGCGTAACCCCCTCGGGCACACCGCTCTCAACCGTCCAAGGTCAGGCAAGGTACGGAAACGCCGCCCTAAACCCAGTTAAGGGACATCTGTACCCGTACGAGGTTACAGGCGAGGTTGTCCAAGCCCAAGAATGTCCGTGCCTTGTCGCGAAAACTACCCGCCGTTGTCCACAGAGTACACACACCAATACATTTGGCATTCGCGGCAATAAAGAAATACCTAAACAGCTACAAAAAAAGTGCCGGCATTGTAAGGCCGATTTTAGTTGACTACACCGTGCAAACATAAGAGTACGCCCCCCCCCCCTCCGCACCAGTACTATTTCAAAGGAACCCCCTCCTCGCCGCTGATCTGTAACTGCCCACCGGTCAGCCCGCGAGTAGCCCCTCACCCCTTCGTGAGTTCTTATCTTCTTGCAGCTGCCGCGTTTTGGGGCTCTGTTCTTATCGGTAAGCACATTGTTTCACCACGAAGGCGGGTTCTGGTTCTTAACACCACGTCGGGACTGAGCAAGTGTTCTTATGGCCAATTTCTTTGATTTTGATTTTTTTCGAGGCCGCATTTCTTGACCACTAAATTCTTAAGTGTAATCTGTATATTTTCTCATCATTATGTAGTACCAGAAGCAACATAGACATGGACCTACTATTTGATATGATTGGGTAGAAATACGAACCGCAACGATCGGGGGAGAAAGAAAAGACTGCGAAAAAGAGAGAGGCGATGATTACTATACGATGCCTCTGTAAAAGTCAATACGACGACACGTACGTAAGTCTGTCTCCTTAAAAATTACTTCATGTAGCGGTCGAATATATATATATCTGAAAAGAATTGCGCGCCTAGCATATTACCGTAAACGTCGGACTTTCCCCCCCCTGGTAGAGTTTTCCCCTCCCTCCACTATGGGAGAGGAGAGGTTGCCGAGAATAGTATGGGAGGCGAAGTGGACAAACAAAAAGAGGGGTAGACAACCCACGGAATGGGTCAAGGTTGTAGAGGACGTATGGAAGGGGTTAGACATCGACGAAGATGAAACGCTGGAAACGGAGGGTCTACAGGGGTTCAAGAAGACATCTGTCGCTTGTGCCGAGAGAGAAGAACAGAATCTAAGGAAAGAAACCAAGGATAAGGAGGGTCTAGAAGTGTACGGAATGTTAAAAGCAGTAATAGGGTTCAAGGATTACCTACATGGACCAATGGATGCAGGGACAAAGTTTAAGGTCAAATTCAGGACCGGGGACATAGGCCTTCGAGAACGTCGACGAAGACATAGGACGGTAGACGACGAAGACGACAAGTTCAAATGTGATTGCGGCTTCGAATGCGGAACTACGCGGAATGCCCGTGGTACGAAGAGGAGAGGGACGTGTACATGACTGAGCTGGGAAAAATACAAGGGACGTACAGGGAGATGTTTGAGGCATGTAATAGAGAGGAGAGGACGGTTGCTGTACTGGGGAGTAGGAAGTGGTTTGAAAAGGCGGGAAGGGATATCGTTAGGATAGACAGACTAGGGAAGACATTTTTGAGCCACCTTTGGCAAAGTAGGAAGGAACGATTGGCCATCGGTGATCGGTCCTGTGGGAACAATGCTCCGTCCTCTCGAGGACGCGTGGTCAATGGTCAAACCGCTAAGGCATGCAAAACATAAGAGTACGCCCCCCCACTACATTTTCGGCCTGGAAGCATGGTTTCTTTGATTTAGCCCCGGGGTAGATCGTATTCGAACAAAAAAAACAAAATCCCCCCGGGTATTTCAATTTCCCCCCGGGGTACCAGTTTTCCCACGGGTCCCCCCCCGGGGGGATGTGTTTCTCTAATTTTCTGAGTCGATTTTGTTGCATCGCGGAGCACGAAAAGCACGATATGGGACGGAAAGTATTGTTGCAGATGTGCGCTTCGAGCGAGATTTAGGTGTATCGTTTGTCACTGTAAGGCGGGCCCTTCCTTTTCGTGGAATTACTTGCGGGACGAGACAAACTCCCTCTGCTGCTGTCCTCCTTGCTGTATTTTTTCCTCTTCGCCTTCGTTGGTCATACGTTCCTCCTCCCTCTGTTTGTTGAACGCTTGCTCGTAAACCTTATCCATCTCAGTTTCGCCACTCTCTGTGTGTTTGGTGTGTAGACCATCATTATTTTGCACAACTCCCCGAGGGGGGGGTTCCCCTCGGGGTAGCGTTGGAACCAAAAAAACTAACCCCCCCCGGTACGTCAATTTCCCCCCGGGGGGGTTGGTTTCAGAAAAAAACGATCCCCTCTCCCCGGGGGGGGGAAACTCCGACGTTTACGGTATGTTGTTGTTGTGGAACATAAAACTTAACTGACCAAAAACTTCCCATTAAACGATTGGCAATGGAAGACGACAATACTCGGAGTTCCCGCTTTTGGGTGGGGGGGACGGCAAAGTGTGCGCTTATTGGCCGCGTCGTGGGCGGTGTTGTGCCACACAATTTTTTCAGCCCCCCACTATACATTCATGAGATTTACGAGCATGTCGCACACGCCATGTCACAACACGTAGCGTAGCGGTAGAATGTACACTTTGATTTTAGTAAGACGACGGTACGAACCCCTCCCTGCTCGTGTTTTCTTCCTTGACAAGGCTTCTGCGGAAGTGAACACGGACGGGCGAAGTCTCGCGCGCCGCGACCGCATGGTGGAAGAAGGTGAATACCCTCATACATTTCTTTCTTTCCTCGACCCCTTTTTGTCTCCCTCCCCCTCCCTTGCCATCGGGGTTGGGTTTTCGTCGCTTGGCAACGACGTTGTAAAACAAGCCGCCCCCCCCGGTGTTTGCCATCGGGGTTTGGGTTTTCGTCGCTTGGCAACGACGTTGTAAAACCAGCCGCCCACTCGGTGTTTGCCATCGGGGTTGGGTTTTCGTCGCTTGGCAACGACGTTGTAAAAGAAGCCAATTCACTTCGTGAACTCGACAACCAGGTTACCGTTTTTTTTTTTTACCTCGGTTTTTTTTTTGGCGGTAACCATAATGGTGGTCGAGTAAATCATGTTGTGCGGGGTGGAGAAACCTCACTCCGCGCAACGGGGGATGATCGCACCACGTTGTGTTAAAATGGTCAAGCTTCCTCGAGGCAGTTACACAGTGCTTACAACTGTCTCTGGAAGTAAAAGCACCAGAAAATAAATTAAGTCATACGTAGCTGTCATCCGTACGCAAGGAAGTAAGCACAAGATGCCGAACACCCTTAGCAGGATGCAGCTCACCCTTCATGCGACTCGCCAAATACCTCACGGCGCTTCGCGCTTGGTGATGTGAGAGCCTGGTCCGGTGAGAACCCGGCGTGCTCCGTCCCGGCTTTGTAGGAATGCGAGGTCAATGGTCAAACGACTACGGCATGCACGACTATGAGTACACCCCCCCCACACACACACACACACATAAATTTTCTTGTTCTATAGCTGCCCGATGTATCTGTCATTTGTTTCGCCGCCCTTGCTCGTCACTTCGTGGTTTGGCCTGGCGCCATTCAGGCGCTAGAGCGGGCGACGGAAGGAAGAGTGTTAGGGGCACCGCACCGCGTTCGTAGGGGGAACCTCGGGCGACGGCATTGCTTCATCTACGAGCAGAAGTACGCCGAGTTTTTCCCGCCGCCTGCGTTGGACTGAACTACCAATACAGCCGTAGTAGTAGTAGCAGTAGTTGCTAATGATGCTTTGTCCGACCTTGCCGCATAGAGACATCAGTGGTGGTTGCACTCGAGTATCCTCCGAGCACCCGCGTCATTCTACAGCAGTCGGTTTTGGGTTGGTCGGGCATCTTTCGGGTGTCGGAGGAACCTGCGGCGGTCGTTGGTGTGCCGTGGTCGTAAGCCCGACCCCAAACTTTGGGCTACGGTGGCTGGCCGAGAGGCAACAGTGAATGTGGCTGTAAACGACAGGACAAGCGAAAAAACACGTGGTGCGTCGCAAGCCGGCAGATTGAGCTCAAGGCCAGCTAAATTAATGGCGAAGGGAAACCTTGAGGGGGAGAAAAATATCGCAATGACGCGCGTTTCGGGAATCAACGGCGAATGCTTATCATCCGCGGCCCTTGGGCAAGGTTCCACTATGCGAGCTGGTTCCAGTCGAAGCTCTTAAGCTCTTACTCATGCTAGAATGATTCCGAAAAAACGTTCTTGTAAGGACTTTGCCCCCGAGTTCCTTTCCCCCTGACGAAAGTATTGCCAAAAACGCGCTCGAAAACAAATCCAAGTACCTTTGCCTTCTCCGCATGAGACACGCCACTGCCCTCGAACAAAGACAAGAAAGAAGTCATGGACTTCTCCGCCAAAAGCTATCGAGTGGAAATCGGCCCGCTTCTTTAGCCACTTCATTGGAACGCAAGCTTCTATAGCAGCACACCTACAAAGAAACGTCGGTCTACATGAGCTTGAGGTGCGACGATATGCCCTCGAACGCCCACACCGGAGCCGGCCCTAGCGCCAGCACGGTACGGGACCCCGCGGCAATCTGGGTATGACCGGCATCCATCTGTGGTATCAAGAGGATGGCGGAGGTACAGTGTTCCAGGACAGCACATGCAACAAGGAAGGAGTTTTTTTGTTATCAGGAAGAGTGAGGAAAACTAAGGATGGGCGCGTCTGTGCCGAGCCAGGGGCCACAAGACCGGCGAATGCGCTACAATTTTGTGCTATTCATCCGGCCTGTGTTGATGGGCATCGAGAAACCACCGCGCCCGCTGTCAGTTAAGGATTTAAAACAGCGCGGCGTTCCTAAAAGTGTGGGAATGCCGGGTTTTTCGACACTGCACATGCCTAAACAAATGCACAAGGAGGGTTGCGAACACGTGTAAGTGCCGAAAATATGTGCCGGCGGTGAACTTGTTGTGCCGGCCACGTTCTGTTTCGTAACGGCTGTCCGGCAATACGCGGACAGAGGTGAACCCGTGAAAAAAAACCGGAGCCATTACCACTACATTGGGCATACGAGCCTTAGGATGCCAATATCGACGGCAGGTCACGTGATACACTATCAGTGCTCTAACGAGCACCGCGAGGGAGCAAGGAAGACCAACCAGCTCACCACTAGATAATTAACCAGACCGGCCGACTGTGCCTTGGCCTGAATGTCGTACAGCTCTGTCTCGGTTGGACACTTGACACAAATCTTTGCCTGCCCCATGTGTTCCCACCTGTCGCGACAACATCATCATCGCCATCAGCAATAACCGTGAGATTTCTTCGTCGAAACACGCGCGAAAAACGGGACAGAC